TATATATATATATATATATATATATATATATATATATATATATATATATATATATATATATATATATATATATATATATACAATGATATTTAAAAAATATATAATTTTTAAACGGTATATCATGTTGCCACAGATACCATCAACTAATGAGTTGGTTTGATTGGTTCACTACCGAAAGTATAAGTCTATCCTCGTATCTTCTCCATGTTGATATAGGGCTACTGAAGTAGTGAACTAACGTAAAAGGTCCGCGTGGGAGATCGTCTACTGGGGATGCTTGAACTTGGGAACGGAGACGTCAAATAGAGGAATCAAGGTCTTTTTGGTTACGTGGTCCTTTCTCAAAGTGAGCTGATGGGTGATTTTTATACCTATATACTTGACAAGGTTGATTGACATTCGTACTGGTTGATCGAAGATAATATTAAGTTAACTAACTGATCACGATAATAAAAATCTCTCTTCATCCTTTCATCCTAGGGGAGTTAAGTTAACTGGAAGAGTTAAGACACGACTATCAGGACTATCGCCCTATGGTCAGACTCCATTCTTTCTTTCGTACAAGCAAGGAATAATATTTTCATCCTTTGTCTGACAAGAATGATTACTGAGACTGTACCATACCATTAGCTATTAATGCGGGGCAGATCGAGACACGCTCATGATGTGATATGCTTAGGTGTTTGCTTTCATGACGAATGAAATAGGATTATCCCTATCAGTATCTTTCTTTCCATTATAATTTTTTTTTCAAATAGTATCCATAAATCTAAAAATCGAATGAAAATAACACTATTGGGTGCATCCACACCATCGTGGAATGGGTGGGCTTGCAATTGGGCCCTTGATACGCGCCACGTCAGCCTATCTTCGCTGCTGCCACGAGTAAACTCGCTTAAAGCTCGCTCTAATGAAACTTCAAGACGAAAGATTTGCATCTAATCTTATATTTTTCATCTTTATAGAGATAAATGTTGAAGATATTAAATCAAGAATTATAAATTTCAATGATCTGATTTTTATTTTATTTTTCTCGTTGGTCGAATATGGTATGTGAAATATCTTTGAATTAATCAAATTTATTTTATTGATCGACCAATTAAGTTGATCCTATTTTATGAAACCGAGTTCGAACTCAGTTTCGAATCGGATACGGGTGGAATTAACATTAGATCACGTCCGAACGTAGTCACTCGTCACTCCGGCGATCTCAACCCAAATAGATTAGACATTATGGGTTGCTTCGATGCGTGCTTCCACCAGTAAAAAGCTCCAATAATCCCAAAATCATGTTCATCAACAGTAATTAACATTTGCTGGTGATGCTCAAGACGTGACACTCGAGGAGATAGAAGAGAATAGAGAGAGCTTAAGGCCGCTGCTAATGCGGCTAATGGTATTGAGATAGGCTGGGCCTGTTTCGGGCCGAGAACTGAGGCGAAGGCGCGAGGTAGGACGCCTCCCCATGGCCCGCCGTGTCGTCGTCGTACATGGCGATGGATGAGTTGCCTTTCGTTGCGGACGAATCGTAGCAACTCCATGGTGACCGCAGCTGTTTCTCCCCTGCTGCCGATGTCACCGGCGACGACGACGAAGGTGGCGCCATCGACGCCGCCGTACGCCGCTCTTCTTTCTTGTAGCGAATGCCGCACGCATTGCACAACGACTGCGATGCGTCGAATCAAATAGACGTCAGATGCAGCGGATGCCCGCACATGGTATTCGTGAAGCCAGCGAGTCGCCGTACCTTGGGGCCTCGTGGACCGTTCCTCCACAGCGGAGTCGAGGTGGTGTCGCAGTTGGCGCACCTACGAGCGAGAAGAAGAGGGTCGCCGCCAAAGTTCGAGCCGTTGGTGGCTCCACCGTAGAACGCATTCGATCTCTTCTTGGACTGCGAAATGATATCCTGGCCGAAGCTAGACACGCACGACGGCCGCTGGAACATGGTGGAGGAGGCGGCGGCGGCGGCCTTGTTCTCGGTTTGGCGCGTGGAAGGGGTCCCTAGTGACAAGGTGCAGTCCACCGAGGAGGGGGAGGAGCAACCGGAACGTGCGACATCATGGTCTTCATCCGTAGACTGCTTTCCCGTCACCGGGAAGACAACAGAGAAGTAGGCGGACCCGCACGAGCACGGATACGAGCTGCTCTGGTGGCCGCACCGGTGCAACATGGCCGCGGAGCAGCAGAAACCCAGAGGAAGGAGAAGGACTAAGGAGGCGGTAGCTAAGAGCGTGGACCCTGCCGAGGGATCGAAGAGAGAAGGCCGGCAACTGCGAACCAAGAAGTGGTATCATACAGCAGGCTTAACGGAGCATATTGATGATGCTTTGGGACGAAAAACCAAAGGGTGCTAATAACGTGTGGGATCTCGGGAAGCGGGAGATGGGGGTTTGTCGGGTTTAATGCAGAGGAAGCAGGTTGAACAATGCTTGTACATGGAGCTGAGTGTGTGTATGGCTGTTAATGAATAGTTAATGCTGGTTTACAGGAGGGGGACGGAGAAAGGCAGTCCGCAGCAGTACGATGGCGTCGTCTTGTGCAAGAGATCGAGATGGGATTCTCCGGGACGGGTGCAGTTACAGGATTGTGCAGTGGAGGCGCGACCTCGTATCACTTCATCTCTCTCTCTGTCTCTCTCTTGTGGGGGATAAGCTCTTCTTCCACCTTGGTCTCGGGAGAGGGAGAGGGAGAGGGAGAGAGAGAGAGAGACATACAAGTTGGCGTCGTGACTTGTTCCTCTGAGCTGCTCTTATAACACGACAGCGACATATGAGTGGCCCAACAAGACGATGTATGATGGCGCAGGTGGCGGAAGCGAATCGACGAGGCCACGGCAAACAAGGCAGATGAGAGGAGACAGATCGGTCAAAAGAGGCCACGTGACTCGCGGTGCGGTCTTCCATGTAATCTCCCCATTTCCCCGATCTCGAGGCACCCCCAAGAGGAAAGAAATTAATGGAGAGAAAAAGAAAAAAAAGAATATAGCGAAGATATAATAACCGCGGCGATGGAAATCACAGCAGGGGATGGCTGCGGTCATCGTTCTCCAAGTCAAAGGATGATAGGCAAAAGAGAAAGTGAAAGGGGGGAGGGGATGGGATGGGATGGGAACCCACCCATCTGCTCTTCGTGGCACACGCCAAACCTCGATCGGCTGCTCGTGTCGCGACAGTGGGATCATACACGCATTACGTCGAACATACGATGTGCATGCCGAAATCGTCGTCAATAAAGCTTTGCCCCGACATGTCTGGAGATCCGAGTTACATACATTACTCGGGATGGATGGGATGGATATAAGAGAAAGTGGATCGGCCTCTACAAAATCCCAATCATCGTCACGCAACGGCGTCCCCGAGAAAGAGAAAAGGGCAAAACCTGGAGCGAAGTTAAAGTTGATATTGGATTCAAACATCATCCCGTCACTATTCCCGATCGCGCTGTCTCGTCTTGGGAACCGAGGTATCTTCTCGGTTGACCACTGCTCTGCGGCCATGGATGAGATGGCGATTCCCTGTTCATTTTGCATCGTATTATCTATCGCCTAAGAGGTGTTCGGTGGAAGGTCTGATCGAGGGTGCAATGGACTATGATCGTACAACTTGGCCCCGTCTTCATTTGATCAAATGCAATATTCTCCGATTCGAAGGATCTTTCAGTATCTATCATACAAGAGTTTAATGCACCGGCAAACGTATTCTCTTGTTGTGTCGCCTATCTCGTCTTCGCTGCCATCTCTTTTTGATATCATCGGGAGCATAGGATGAGTTCGGCGCATTCTCACGTTCATCATCTGTTTCAAGCTCCTTCTTCCTCGCTTCTGCACGACTGACTGCACCCCTTAACCTTGCAGCCTCAGCGATAAGGTCACTTATAAGCATCTCCGTGGTTCTCGTGGTTATTCCCCTCAGATACCATGAAATAGGTGGTGGTGGGACAAGAGATGGCTGGATCAGCTGGTCTAAACTCACAATGGATCCAACTCTTCCTTTGCCCTGCGTGCAAGTATTGTAATTGTCCCATGTTCTTGGCTTGAAAGGTTGGCATAAGTGTTCATCGACAAATAATGGTTCTACTTTCCAACAACCCTCGAATCTTTTCATAAACCCTGATCTCCCTTGCTGGAATTTGACCTGCATAGGGATGGATTATTGTAAGGTATTCCTAAATGACAAAAAACATCTGACGGTAAAAAAAAGAAAACCAGTGGCTTACCGTATGGTCTTTCCGGTTTTGATCAACTATGACATGAACCGATATAGTTCCAGACCACCAAAGAAACCTCCATATTGCTGCTTGCTCCACCTCCACAACCTGCCTTAAGCCCTCATCTATTAACACCTTTCTGGATATTACTTCCTAAAAGATGAGAGTATCACATTAGTGCTGCATTATAATTCAGATTCCGAAGGGGGATTGCATAAACCTAGAGATTAACAGTCACATGCCAAATTGAAAGCTATACCTTGCATTGTCGTACTAAGAATTCCACTCTAATGAGTCAAACTAGATGACACTAGTAAGTCCTCAACCAAAGAATGATGAACAAAGGTAAGCGACCCTTAGAACATAAGCCAAGCCGCTTTTATGCCAATATCTTTACTCCCATCCAGTAGCATCAATATTGGTGAAGAGTCATTGCATGAAAAATATAGTTTGATTTCTATGTTTTCCTTACATTTCTTATCAGTATTAATGATATCTTTGTTTTTTCTTATAACAAATTTCTCCATCTGGAAATGAAAATATTTTAAAATGTGACTAACTAAGCTAAATAGACATTTTTTTATATCTCCACGCAAGCACTTGCAAAAAAAATAAAATAAAATAAAAAGAATCAAGTCTTCTAAAACATAATGATAATCTAGGAATGGACATGGTTCTGAACACACAAAGTATCACTTGCATTATGAACAACATACATTGCACTACAAAATGTAAGTATATCTCCATCTTAAGATGCCTAGGAGACCTACCGATGCGATAATTAAAAGTGACGAAATGATTGCCACAAGTAATATGAGGAAAGATAGAAGAAGATCTAAAAAAATCTTAGAAGAAACTATAAATAAGAATTTAAATACTCTTAACTTAACTAAACGTATAATTTTTTATAAATTTCAATAGCGATAAAAAATCTATATAGCCGACCCCAAATAGTTGGGATATTCAGCTTTGTTGTTATTGTTGTTGTATCCAAGTATATCTCCGAGCAACAAGTAGTGGTCTATGAACATCTCCTATTGGTTCCTTGTGCATCACTTCTATCAATGTATATCAAAACATGAACAAGATTAAGTTTTCAATTGCATAAATCAACAAGGAACTTGTAAATTTTAAGCATATTTAACCTCAATAGGGGAAATATTTAACCCCAATCACAACTCTGACACATGGCGGCACAATCAACAAGGGGGACCGGACCCCAACCAGCAATGCAGCAACAACCGCTGAGCTGATAACATCAGCATGATTAAACTTAATCCTTAGTGGTGATAATGCCTAGATGAAAATTATGCCCAATGAAAACAACTCACCACAAAAGAATATATGCACAGTAAACCATGCATATGATACTGCACCAGAAGCTAATATCCCACAGAAAGATAAAAGGAACCTCATCAGAGAACTCTAAAGGTTTTTCTGTTATACCTTTATGTTCTTGAACACCCTTTTGTTTTCTGGGTCGGTGACAATGTTATATATTGCATCTGGGGGTAAGCCAACCTTGAAATTCACATTCAAATTGCAAAGAGATCCTTTAGGTACAGAAACCTGCAACAACATTTGAAAACAAACTCACTTAGACTTCTATAATTAATGATGCATCATTTTGCTTAGTATCTGTCTTTAGTTATAGACTTTGGGCTAGTGAATCTTCATATTTGCATTTCAGTAAACTTGGTTTTCCTTTTTCTGTAAGGTACAAAAGTGTATTTGCTCAACAAACAAAATCTAGAAAGCATTGACTTAATATGTAAATATGATCTTGAAAGATCAAGGAATATAGATAATACAAATAGAAGAACATGCAAAACTTAATGATTCATTTCATAAGTGCTCTTCTTGCATTCTAAGACTAACACCTTGATCTCTGGTGGCTGATCAACCCAGAATGAGTTTTCTTTCCAGGCGTCTAGCTGCTTGTGAAAGTCGATGTCCAAAGCAATGGGTGATTCTCTGTCCACCAGCGTCAGAGGACTTCTAGCATCAAATTTCTGTCTGTTCTTCACGACTTTCCTCAGGTGTGCCTGCGAGAAAGTGCAACTGAACATAGAAGCACAAAGAGGACTCTGGTGATTCTCTAAAGATGCCCAGAGGACTGACCTTTAAACAATTCTGAAGATTCTGATGGAACTGCACAAGAGAACCAACTGCTGAACTAACTGCCAAGGTGCACTCTTTTCCTTTGTTCACAGTGGTGTCAAAAAATTTCCCCATTTCTTTGTCAGCCATTTAGGACCTGCACCATGGACCTGTAAGATTCACAATTACTAAAAATAATGTGATGTCGAAGACATTGAAGTACCTCAGCGCAAATATTCTTAATCATAGGATTTTAGACAGATGAAAAGGCACTACGCTGTCCCTAAATGGCTTTATGGGTAAAGCAAACTGATACTCTAGTTTAATAGAAGGATCTCTATATGATTTACACCTCTAGGGTTTTTGGAGCTCGATTCAAAGGCCCTCCATCTTAGATTTGCAAGGATTGAAGAATGGGATTCGTGCAAAAGCTTGATTTCCAACAGGGTTAGGTCACAAATCAAGATTACGATGATAATTCCAAGGAGGGACTCGTGTATTCCTGATTGCACCAATTATTGGGTATTTGGATAGGGAAGGTATTCCTGATTGCACCAATTCACACAAGAGAAAGCTGGCAATCGTTTCGAATCTAACCGTCTAACACATGTAAGACGACGAAGAACAAGCATAAATGAACAAGATCAGAGTCAGACCTTCCACCAACCTGAAAACATTAGCCGAAGAAGCGGAATTCTTCACATCGATTCCGCGCACGAAATCGCCACAGACATGAGAGAGGTCAGCGAGGAAGAAGGAGATCTGGTGGAGCACTCAAACGATGGGGAGCTTCCGGGAATAAGACGGATCCACGAAAAAAATGTGGCGGGGATCTCCTCCAATCACAATTTTAATTGGAACCCTCCAACCCTGACATCAGATCCGTCCACTGACACGTACTGCGTCGGCTATGGATGGGTCCCACCATCCACGTCCGTGTCGAGAGACAATCAATTGGAGGGGATCCAAACCCAAATAAAAAAGAGTATAACAGAAATCTCAATAGACGATTATTGGACTGGATTTTATGTTTGACTGACTTAATTAAAGATGATATTTAATTATCTTGATCGTGTATGACGCATCATCTTAACGAAGATGATGGTGTCATATATAAATTCGTTAATATGTTTATATTTTTATTTTCTGTATGGTCGAACACATCGCTTCCGTCCGTCGCATGGCAGCGGCGGTCGCCACCACCACGCTCTCCGACGCTACGCCACCTCCTTGCCTTTCTCCTCCCGACGAATATTCACTTCGTATTCTTCGCCTCTGCGCTTCCGACCACCTCCCGCATATCCACTCCGCCCTCGCATTACCTTCCGCTGTCCACCCCTCGGCCTTCGCCGCCCTCTTCCACGCCTGCGCCCGTCGCCGCCTCCTATATCTCGGCAGATGCCTCCACCGCTGCATGCTCTCCCTTCTCCCGTGGCCGCCCGATCTCTTCGTCGCCAACCATCTTCTCAACATGTATGCCAAGTGCGGCCGCCTCGACCTTGCCCGCCGCGTGTTCAAGGAAATGCCCCGCCGCAACCTCGTCTCTTGGACCGCCCTCCTTTCCGGGTTCGCTCAGCACGGCCATCACGATGATTGCTTCGGCCTCCTCGCTGGCATGCTCCCTCACCACCTCCCCAATGAGTTCGCCCTCGCCACCGCCCTCAGCTCCTGCGCTGGGGCAGCTCGTGGTTTCCGAGGCCGCCAGGTACACGCCCTTGCCTCTAAGATCTACCTCGATGCCAATGTATTCGTGGGCAACGCCCTGATCACTATGTACTCCAGCTGCTATGGCCAGTGCGACGATAGCTGGGCCGTCTTTCGGACGATGCCTTTCCAGAACCTTGTCACTTGGAATTCGATGATTGCAGGGTTCCGACAGAATGGTCAGCTGGACCGGTCGCTGGAGCTTTTTGTGGAAATGCAACGAGGTGGCCTTGGGTTCGATCGTGCCACATTAGTTAGTGTCATCTCCTCGTGTTCTTGCCTTCAGCATTGCCGGCAGTTGCACTCTCCCGTCATTAAAACTTGTTATGATTATGAGGTTGAGGTTGCAACTGCTCTCGTCAAGGCATACTCCATTGTGGGTGGCGGCACCGATGACTGTTATGGAGTATTCGGTGGGGTTAGGGAACATGACATTGTGTCTTGGACGGGCATAATGACTTCATTTGCCGAGCAGCTGCCTGAAGAGGCAATTCGGCTCTTTTGCCAACTGCGCTACAAGAATTACAGTCCTGATAGATACACATTTTCTATTGTGGTGAAGGCCTGTTCAGGCTTCGCAACAGAGCGGCACTGCTCTGCTGTCCATTCACTAATTGAGAAGTCTGGGTTTGGAGATGATTTGGTTCTTTCAAATGCATTAATCCATGCCTATGCTCGGTGTGGTAGCATTGTCATGGCAGAACATATCTTTGAGAGAATGGTGGTTCACGATGTAGTGTCATGGAACTCAATGATCAAGGCTTATGCTGCTCATGGGCGTGGGAGGAAGGCACTTGGAGTTTTTAGATGTATGGATATTCCACCTGATTCTGCTACCTTTGTTGGGCTTCTAACTGCATGTAGCCATAGCGGGCTTGTAAACGAAGGCCGGGATCTCTTCAATTCTATGTTGAAAGCATATGGGATTGCTCCTCAGCTCGATCATTTTGCTTGTATGGTCGATATTCTTGGACGTGCTGGGAACTTGCAAGAGGCTGAGGATCTGATAAATCAAATGGAAGTGGAACCGGACTTTGTTGTATGGAGTGCATTGCTTGGAGCATGCAGGAAGCACAAGGAGGCTAGGATTGCAGAAAAAGCAGCCCAAAGGCTGATGGAATTGAAGCCCAAGAATTCAATTGGGTATGTGATGATGTCCAACATCCATTATGATAGGGGTAACCTAGAGGATGCATCCTTTATTAGGAAGGATATGAAAGAGTGTGGAGTGAAGAAGGAACCTGGGCTTAGCTGGATTGAGATTGAGAATCACATTCATAGGTTTTCAGTAGGTGCACGGCACCATCCACAAAGGAAGGCAATATATGCTGAGCTCAATCGGCTAGTGGATAGTCTTAAGGAAATTGGTTATGTGGTGGAGACCCGATTAGTGCATCATGAGACTCAGGAGCACAAGGAAGAGCGGCTGTTGCATCACAGTGAGAAATTGGCCTTGGCTTTTGCACTTATGAACACTTCTGCTAGTAAGACTAATTTAAAGATTATGAAGAACTTGAGAATCTGTGAGGATTGCCACAAGTTCTTCAAGTTGGCATCCAGTTATTTGCAGAAAGAGATTATAGTGAGGGATGCAAACCGTTTCCATCATTTTGTTGATGGAGAGTGCTCATGTGGTGACTTTTGGTAATTGACATCATTTACCAAGCTAAGAGGTACTCGTTACAACATCTTACGGGAGTAGAGACAAATAAGTTTTGGCAGGAAACAGATACACATAGTTATTGTCTTTCTTATTATATCTTTACCATTAAACTGTAGCATCCTCTTGATAATTAGGCAACGAACATTAGGATTTTTTTTCTTATACCTAACAAATCCTACAATATAAAGACCAAAGCTCTGGTGGTTTGATCATATAGTTTGAGCTTATAATGAAGTTGCTAGCCTAGGCATATAGCTTAAAGTAGCTGTTTGTCTTCTGTTTGAGTGTTGTTGATATCGGAAGCATTGGAGGTGATGAGCCTTCCATGATATGGTGACAATACCTTGTCTTCTTCTAGAATTTCTGTTTTGTCACTTCATGACTAGTTTACTTGTGATGGTATCTTTATCAATGTAGTCTTTTGTCATGCGGTCGAGTCGTCTAATGCTAGTTGCAATTGAAAGAAAGTTTTATGGTCCATTTTAGATATTATTTCCAAGTACATGGACACTTAAATCACTACATGAATTTCCTGCATGGTGTATGATATTAGTAATTGCATGTACTCCTGAAACCAGTTAACTGCCTTACTGATACTAGTGGATGTCTACTTTGAGATATGAAGTTGATCTTTTATGCTTGTTGGACTTGCATATCTTTGGTGCATAGTTCATAGATTTTATTTCCTAAGCATACTTGAATAAGACAACGATGACAATTCATGGTATGTTCGTACCTGGATGACTGATGTTACTAGTGTGGTATATGGAGGCTGGCATTCCAAGGGACGGGCTTCTTTGTCCTTGGTTGTTACATAGTCAGTGACAGCTAAATAACAGATAATGGCATAGCTGAACTAGTGGTCAGTCTCTCAATGAAGTAGCGATGAAATAATCACAGCTACATGACTTATTTGAGGGCAGAAACAAGTTCAGCATACATATGGAAGTACATAATGAGAATTGCCCATTCTGGCAACTTGAATATGGTTAACTTTATGGACTAGAGTAATTTCCACTACGTTGGGGATGGTGCACCACATCCAAGAACATGTCATATTCATGGGGCAGTTTCACATTTAGAAGTTTGATCTGCACAACATTGGGTGAGCTCAGGGTTGGAGGTGCCAAAAATGATGGAGAGAAACAGCGATGGTGAGAAAAGAGATGTTCAGCAAGGTGGTAGCTCATTCGAGTGGCTCAAGGAATAGGCATATCGCTCGAGGAAAGGAGTTGCTTTCCCTTAAGAAAAAGCAGAGGGATGCTGTGGCTCAATTTTATGTTAATACCAAGGGGCTGATGAAGGTTGAGATCTTTTCTCTTCCATTTAAAGGGAGAAGAAACAGTCCATGGATGATCTAATTGTAAGTCCGTTTAAAATGAGGATTGCATCGTCTACTTTTTAAAATGTATTTCGATGCAGCCACAGAACTGAAACTTGCTTACTGCTGTTCAGGAGGGTAGCTTTTTACTAAATATGATTTTGGTATTCTTTGAGACACAGTCATTGTTTGAACTCAGATCTCCATATGTACTTCTAAATACCATGTGCTGCTAAACATTGTAGTAGTCATCTATGCATCCATCACAAGCATGGAGTGATGGATGACCAGATTAGTGTTGTTTTTTTCTATTGTATGTATGATATGCCAGCCTCAAGTATTATAGTGAACCTAATCTAGAATTGTGTAAACAATATTTCCTGATTCAAATTGTCATTTCTATAGAATTGTGTTGGAGAAAGCTCACATTATATTTAATTTTTTTTTATGTTCCATGTCCAGATTGTTAAATTGGGTTAACTAAAACCTCAAGTGATCTAACTTGCTGATCTTGTTGTTCCAGTTCAACATGACATAATTGCTGGCCTCCCCAACTCAGGTGCTCGATCATATTCCTTCCCATTGTTTAGTCCTTGAGGTGGAGATGCACAAACTTTCGCAGCCTATCATGAGCTAATGCCCCAGGAATATATAAATACACCAAGAAGTGCAATTGGCTTGGCGTCGTGGAAATGTAGAAGAAGAGCCCTCCAACCACCCCTATTAACTGTACTTGAGAGGTTGGTGACAACAGTGGGCAGCAAGACCTTCTCCCTCCCCTTGGTCAAGCCCTTCATTCCATCGAACATCTTGTTCAGCGAAGCTGGTCGGTGGTGCCTGCTGCTGTAATCCTATCGGAGACCTCGAAACCCAATGGTTCAATCTTCTACGACAGAGCCATATTGCTCCAGGTTGGTAGTCTATGTGACACTCTTTTTCTCTTCTTCCGCTTGATGTTGTGCACAAGATACAAATCATGATCCAAATTACTCTGGATGATAGCTATCGAAATGTTAAGTCCTTTTTCCCACAAAATCCAAGCTAATTGTTCTTCATTTTAAATTCAAGTCAATGAATAACGTGGCTTGCACTTTTATCTAATTGCTAGGACTGAATCAAGTGCAAAGATGAACAAGCTAATTGGGAAGCACATTTCTTTCTTAATTTGTTCACTGCATATTTATAAAAGCTATCTCACTGACTGTACTTTGATCAGGTCAAGCGAGGCCAGCGATGACGTCGAGTGCTCCGGCAACTCATGTCGTTCGTGCACCGCAGTCCTTGTCGCCAACTGCATCGCGTTAGGCTGCTGCCCGTGCGCCGTCGTGAACATGCTGGCGCTGACCTTGGTGAAGGTCCCGTGGATGGTGTCGAAGCGGTGGTGGCAGTCGCTGAGGAGAAGAGGAGCTTCTCAGCGAAGAAGAGTGGCCGATGTGGCGACCGTGGGAAGAGAAGGAACGAGCTCAGAGATGAAGAGGAACTACAAGTGGAACGAAGAGGGTGCTGTGGGGGAAAGAAAGGGTCACAGTGGGCGTGGAAGCTTACCTTCAAGTCTTGGAGCTGACGATGGAGTTTGGGAGGAGTTGTATCGAGTAGGGAACTGGGGGTTCGGGAGAGTTTCCTTCTCGGGCACTCAAAGAGAGTGGCAATCAGGGAAGAACACCTCCGGTGATGACGAGCTTGGAGAGCAGCGCTAGTGGACGCGGTTGCAGCGTGGGCTCGTTCCACCTATAATCTCTGTGAAAAGCTGCTCTATCATGATGTGCATACTGTAGTCTTCCTCGAATGTTGTCGGCATCTCATTACTGGGAATGTTATCATTGAAAGAACACTGATCGATTTATTTCAGCTACCGTTTAAGACTTTTACATGTTATTGCAAAATCTTGAGCTTAAATTCTCTTTTTCGTCATATTATATATATATATATATATATATATAAAGATAACCTGTTTTAATTTTTTCTAAATAATATTTTACTTTTTATAATTCAATTAATATCTTTTCCATTCCTTTTCTGTTTGTCATCTCTTTCTCCTCGTTGCTTATCCTTTCTCAAAGCCCATCGTCTCCTCCCTTACATCCTCTCATTGCTTGTGGTGAGAGGATGGCGAGAGCAATAGGTGAGGAAGGGATCAAAAGGATATTTATGAAATTAAAAATATGTAAAATTAAAACAGAAGGTGCCTTTTTAAAAGAACCAAAAAAAGATTTTTTTAATGGAAATCAGTCTCTCTCTCTCTCTCTCTCTCTCTCTCTCTCTCTCTCTCTCTCTCTATATATATATATATATATATATATATAATGTTGCACTTTGGCATTTTTGCTTTCTTGTTGGTACATTTCATTGGCACTTGCCGCAAATGTGGCGGCAGGCAACCAAATAAAATTCCGTTTTGTTTCTGCGGAGGCGAACCCTAACCTCCTTGCCACATGGCCGGGGAGAGGAGGCCGAGATCGGCCCATCTCTTCTTCGAAATGGGTCTCGTCTCCCGCCGCCGCAGCCGCAGCCGCTCTCCTCCGGCCGACCAGAGTCCCGGCGTCGGCCGCGGCGACGCCGGCTACTCGAGGATGGTTCATTGCAACGATCCGGCGAGTCCTCAGGCGTCGGAGCTTAACTACCCGGATAATTCGATCTCCACCACCAAGTATACGGTGGCCAATTTCGTTCCCAAGTCCCTCTTCGAACAGTTCCGCAGAGTGGCCAACTTCTTCTTTCTCATCGTAGCTTTCATCTCCTTCAGCCCCCTTGCTCCGTACCGGGCCGTCAGTATTCTTCTCCCCCTCGTCGTCGTGGTGGGGGCGACCATGGCCAAAGAGGCCGTCGAAGATTGGCAGCGCAAGAAGCAGGTATGCTTTAATGCCTAATGCAATCAAAGATAGAAAATTTGTTCCCTTTTATCCTCATCTTATAATTCGCCATTGAAATTACATGGTTACAATCTCTATCTTTTTCTAAAGTTACATATAATGTATTGGTTATGTTGATCAAAGAACCCATGGACATGGAATAACTGAAATCTCTTGTAACGCCATATATTACTTCATCTTTTATTCACAACTAAATAATTTGGAGAATTAAGACAGATTGGAGTCTGTATTTTGTTCTTGGGCGTAAAATTTATGTTTTATTTACAAGTCTAAAAGTACCTCCTCTTCTGGGGGATAAAAGTTGAACAAGAATATGCATCTGAATCAAAGCATGAAATGGAAAATTTCTTATTTTGAAAAGTGCAAGAATATGGTTATCTATTCTTGGAATGCAGATGAGTTGTATCTGTTATCCATAGGAGACAACAGATTTTGTCTCCTGGGTTTGAAAATTGCTTGTACTCTTAGAAATCATTCTAATTATTCAAATACAGACCATAACTAACCACATAACATAGCATCATTATTGAACGAAAAGTTCAACCTCAAACATACCTGCCAGCTTCTCTAATTTTTGGCTACTTCCAATATCAGGAGAAAAATAATATAGGAAGTCAAATATAGGGACATTTTTGTCTAAACAAAGCTGTACATGAAATCTTTGCAGCTTCTTTAGAGTTCGTATGGGATGGAAGTGGTTTAACGACTAGAATGTGATTGCATATTGAAGTATTTACTATTTAATCTAATTGCCATTCTATGTCTTGATTAATAATGATTACCTGCTTTTATTTGGATTGTATAGTGTATACACTGGAATCAGATTAAAAAAAAAATGTTGACATTTTACAGTAAAGTAGAATTAGGAATGAGTAGCATAAGAAGAGAATTTGTTGATCTAGGATCTCCAAACTACTGGAACCAAACACATACATGCTACAATTTAATGCTTATGTTTGTGGTCCCCAAAATGTTGTTGTAGTTGCCCGTTTTGAAGGTGTTATTTATTTTTTTTAACTATATAAATTCTTGGTTGCTTGGGAGATAATGCATCTCATCATATGTCAAGTTTCAATATTCTTGTCAGGATATAGAGGTCAACAATCGGAAGGTTAAAGTTTATGATGGATCCTTTTCTCTTTACCAAACAGAATGGAAGAAACTAAGAGTTGGAGATATTGTTAGAGTGGAGAAGGATGAATTCTTCCCTGCTGATTTACTTTTGCTTTCTACTAATCATGATGATGGCACTTGTTATGTTGAGACCATGAACCTTGATGGAGAGACAAACTTAAAACGTAAACAGAGCTTGGAAGTGACATCAACCTTGCATAATGAAGATTCTTTCCAGAACTTCAAAGCATTGATAAATTGTGAAGACCCAAATGAAAAATTATATTCTTTCATTGGGATTCTGGATTATGAAGGTGTTCAATTTCCTCTTAACCCAAAACAAATTCTGTTGAGAGATTCTAAGCTCAGAAATACCCAGCATGTTTATGGTGTTGTGATTTTTACTGGACATGACACAAAAGTAATGCAGAATGCCATGGATCCTCCTTCAAAAAGGAGTAACATTGAGAGGAGAATGGATAAGATAATTTATGTTCTTTTCGCTTCTCTGGTTTTTATTTCATCCATTAGTTCTGTTTTCTTTGGAATCAAAACTAAAAATGAAACTAGTGTTGGAAACTATAGGTGGTATTTAAGACCAGACAACTCATCAATATACTTCGATCCTAACAGAGCAGGGTTGGCTGCCTTTTTCCACTTTCTGACAGTCCTCATGCTATATGGGTGCCTGATTCCCATCTCATTGTATATATCCATAGAGATTGTTAAGGTTTTGCAAAGTATCTTCATAGACCATGATCAAGAAATGTATTGTGAGGATAGTGATAAGCCTGCACGTGCCCGTACATCAAATTTGAACGAGGAACTTGGACAGGTTGATACTATACTATCAGATAAAACTGGCACGCTGACTTGCAACTCGATGGAGTTTGTGAAATGTTCTATAGCTGGTATTGCTTATGGAAGTAGATCATGTGAGATGGAGAAGGCTGCTTCAGGAATTATACAGTATGAGCCATTTGAACGTCATGATTCACCTTCTGCTTTCGAGAGGCACAAGTCTGAAGGAACATCCAAAAAGTCAACCAAAGGCTTCAGCTTCAGAGATGATCGGTTAATGAATGGACAATGGGTTGGAGAACCTAATTCAGAAGTTATACACAAGTTTTTTCATGTGTTAGCAATCTGCCATACAGCTATTCCTGTTGTTAGTAAATCTGATGAAATATTATATGAAGCTGAGTCCCCAGATGAAGCATCTTTTGTTACAGCTGCAAGGGAACTTGGTTTTGAATTTTACAGACGAACCCAGACAAGCGTCTCTTTGCATGAGTTTGATCCAAAGATTGGCAGAAAGGTTGATAGGTGCTGATCGATTAACTCAATATGGCAGCTTCATATATTGGTATCCATCTTCTGTTCTTTGTTATTATAACTTTTTTTTCCAAATTTTAGGACGTATGAACTTCTCGATACCTTAGAATTCAGTAGTGCTCGCAAAAGAATGTCCGTAATTGTGAGGACTGAGAGCAACCAGTTATTACTTTTCTGCAAGGGTGCCGACAGGTTTGTGTCCTTAAATCTGCACTAAGTTAACAATATCTTGTCAATGGTTTTAGATCCTAAGCTCACACTTTTTTTCTTTTTCTGATTGCTTTAGTGTAATCTTTGAAAGGCTTGCCAAGAATGGACAGGTATTTGAACCAAATACCAAATGCCACATCAATGACTATTCAGAGGCAGGCTTACGGACATTGGCGGTTGCATACCGCATACTAAGTGCAGAAGAATACATTCCATGGCATGATGATTTTGTGAAGATAAAAAATTCAGTCAACGCTGATCATGATACAATTGTGGATGAAGTAGCTGACAGAATTGAGAGGGATTTGATCCTTTTAGGTGCCACAGCTGTTGAGGACAGATTACAGAAGGGGGTAAATTTTGCAATTTAAGATTAGAAACTATTCTTTTTTAACAAAACAATAGCTGTATCTAAGCTATATTTTTTACTCTGCTCACTTTTGTGGCTTTTGGCCATTCATTGTGTTAATATTGTTTTTCTGTTAGTTTGTTGTCTGAAACACATTCACCTAGTGAGGTCGCCCACAAGCATAATTTTTGTAGATAACACTTAGCCATATGAAAGAGTGGAAGTCATGTGCAGTTAGATAGTATTCAGATAATCACATGTCTTTATGGAATTAATGTGCTTGGCCATCTTGATCTTACTAAAGTTTTATGTCAAGGTTCCAAATCAAATCATTCATGGATATTATAATTATTTGGATCAAAATTGCAGCTTCAGAAGTACGTCTGATTCTTGTCTTCATTGTACAGGTTCCTGAGTGTATTAACAAACTTGCAGAAGCTGGAATCAAGATCTGGATTTTGACTGGCGATAAATTGGAAACTGCAGTCAACATAGGGTGAATTTTTCTCAACCTTCAGTTGTACTAGAGAGACAGCCTATCTGCTTGTGAGTAAATTAGTAGACCTTGCAGGTTTGCCTGCCAATTGCTAAGGAAAGGAATGGAGCAATTAGTTATCACGCTTGATACCCCAGATATTAATGCGCTAAAGAAAGATGGGGACAAGAATGCCCTGGAAAAGGTGTGGATATAAACATAAAATATAATTTTATGGTTTTTTTTATTATTTCTAACAATTCCAATACTTGTTAGAGCTTACATGAGAATGTTGCCAAGCAAATATGTGAAGCACTGTCACATGTTTCTAAAATGAAAGGAAGTAATGTTCCCTTTGCTCTTATCATTGACGGTGATTCGCTGGCTTTTGCTCTCTCAACAAGTCTGGAGCATTCATTTCTAGATCTGGCAGTTGCTTGTGCATCTGTTATTTGTTGTCGAACTTCACCTAAACAGAAGGCACTGGTACGTTTTTCATCAAGCTTAAATACTTAAATAATTACTTTTATCATGTACGAAAATCATCTGAGAGAAACCTAGGAATGCAGGTCACCAGATTGGTAAAATGGAGAACAAGGAAAACTACACTGGCAATTGGTGATGGAGCCAATGATGTTGGTATGCTTCAAGAGGCTGACATTGGCGTTGGTATTAGCGGGGTTGAGGGCATGCAGGTTTGTCTTTATGACTGACATTTGCCTGTTCATACATGTGTTTATTTTATTTTGTATATTTTCTTCTTGCCAAGTAAAATGTGGAGACTTACACAATCCATGGAATAGCTTAACTTGTCTTAAGTTTTTAAAAAGATGGAACATTAGAGATTAGATAACAAATATTAAGACCAAAATCATATGGCTTTAAAGAATACTTACACTTGTACTTGTAGAATAATATCCCCATTTGAAATTGACATCAATATGAATTACAATCTTTTACAAGGAGAAGAAACTCTTTGTATGTGTTTAAACATCTTTTTGCATCATTCTGTTTGTAGGCCAGCCTGTGCATTTTTTCAAATCTGCTTGCTTAGGATAAAGGAAGTGGAAATTAAGTTATCCTTTGTCCTTGGTGGTAATTAGCTTGAACATGCTGTAAAATGAAAATATATATTAATTTGACTTGACTTCGGACTTGTAGTATGCACATGCTTGTTTTAGGTGAAAATATAATCTGGTTTTACTTGTCATCTATGTGGTCACGTATCATTGTGTATTTAATTAGATAATTGATGCATATTTATGTAAATCTGAGTTATACTTTGTATGTTATAGGCATGATAATGTTTGCTGCTTCAAGTCACAAATGTTTGGTTGCAGGCTGTAATGTCAAGTGACTTTGCAATAGCTCAATTTCGATTTTTGGAGCGGTTGCTGCTTGTTCATGGGCATTGGTGTTACAGGCGGATTTCAGCCATGGTAAAGCATTATCAAAATACTTATTTCTATTTTGTGATCTAAAATGTATTTCACATAACTGAACTAGGATTTTCTTTCTGATGATAAGTAACTCAAGCCTAATTGGAAACACAGCTTCTATAGAACGATCTTTGTTGAATATGAGCATACATCTTACTTGGTACTGGGTAGAAGTTAGGGGCATTGAAGTTTGATATATTCTCTTCCAACCAGTCTGGAATCCCAAGTCCAAAGGAAAGCTGTGTTGGCATGTCTCAGTTACCTTCTTATGTATTTATCTATTTGTTAGATGCAGATATCTTTACATTTATGGATTAATGAATTTAATAGAACACCACAATGCATAAGTCTCAAATTTACACATTCCTCTTATTAGTTGCTTTTTTCCTTTCTAATCCTAGAGTTACTGAGAGAATGAAGTGTTACTTGTATGTGATCAATGTTTTAAAAAGTCACCCGGGCGCTTCAGCGAGGTAAGGCGAGGCACGAATAAATATTTTTAATTCATATGACATGTCTGATTCACACAAAAATAAGAAACCAGTTAGAGCATCAATGATTGCATGATCTGATTTATATAAAGTATAATCAAACATTGAAAACTCATCATGATTCATGAAATAATAATGATCTAATCTCATTACAAGATATTGATAATTTAAATGAGTGGTTGGTGGGGGAAATGAGTGTGAACTTGCAAGATGTCGAAGATGAGCTTGTATTTGGAGATGATAGCTTAACATGAGGAGATGTGACAAGAGCCTCAGGTGTTGGAGAATTACAGACATATACAAGACAGTTGACGAAGGCAAAAATGAGTACAAAAGCCTCAAGTTCATCTCTTGTTTTTGTTGAAGAGGAGGAAACCTATCTTGATGAAGATGGATAAGAGGAAGAGAAAGATGATGATAAGTTTGAGAATGATGATGTTGATTATAATGATGATTATATTTGATGTAAAACCTTATTGTTTTGAGTCTTTTGGCATTTTTGTCATTGGAAGATGGATAATGTGACTTGGTATTTTAGATATTTTCAATTTAATATCATATTTTTATTTATATAATCATATTTATAATTGTATTATTAATTTTTTATATCTTAATATTCTAGAGCATCTCGTTTCACTTGGGTGAGCGCCTAGCATCACGAGCATTTTAAGACCTTGTCACCTTTTGACGCCTAGTGTTTTTAAGAACACTGTATGTTATGTTATCATATTCTATAGTCCTCTCATGATATGGTGTCTATTCTTTATGCACTTGAAAATTCTACCAATTAAGTATCACTATTGTAACATCTGCAAATGTTGGTTTTTTTACTTTTTTTTTGCATTTTTAGTATTTTGGCATGAAAATTCTTATTTCAGCTTCATAAAAAGAATTGTGGGAGTTTGTCTACTTAGATTCCCTTTTTTAGTTTATATTTTAGTATTAAAAAATCCTTTAAAACCAGAGTGGAAAATGTGTTGCTTGGAAATGGGTGGTTACTTAATTCTAATCATTTTTTGTTAGATTCCTACTTCTAATTTTGATTTTCTATCAACAGATATGCTACTTTTTCTACAAAAATATAACGATGGGCTTCACTCTTTTCTGGTTCGAGGCTCATGCTTATTTTTCAGGACAGCCTGCTTATAACGATTGGTTCATATCATTTTACAGTGTTGCCTTCACATCTCTTCCAGTGATTGCACTAGGTGTTTTTGATAAAGACGTTTCTGCGCATCTTTGCCTGAAGGTATAGAATATTGCTATTTAATTTCCATCCATTCAGAATGTATAAGCTTGTATTTCACGTAGAGAAAACCTTGTGTAGAACATGTTGCTGCGTCCAACTTCATTTACAAAATACTAAATCATTTTGATCTCAGATACTCTAATTTTGATCAGAGGACAATGGGAAAAGCCCATATAATGGGTACATCCATTGTGCGACACAATCAAAAGATAGCATCTCACCCACACTGAAACTTGATAAAAAGGAATATAAATGCAGGATACTGTTTCCCAAACTCTAGGGAATTAATTGGATAATAAGAATTAAAACATATGGATTCCCTTAAGTGACATTTCATGTGGTAGAATGTTAGTGATAAATGAACAAAGTAATTTTTACAAGACAAAGTGTACCATCATGTTATCATGATAGTTAATGATAGCTTCTTCTTGAAGAGCAACATTCGTTCCTTATGGTTTAAGACATTGGTAACAGTACACTAATTTTGATAATTAGGTGTCTTCTGACAGTCAACTTGGATAAATTGATGTTATTTATTGCCAAGGTTTTTTATAAGATAATTTGGTTTCTCCTTTATTTTGCTTGGTTTGTACCAGAATCCAAAATATCATGTTCTTGTGTTTAGAAAGGTCCAACATCAAACAGTCACAGCTAGAAGGATTTTGTTTTCATTTTATCTGCAAACCCACCTGCACCAGAGGACAAATGAGAATTGAAAATATAAAAATACTGGCATGGGATGTTCTCTTTTGTGACTGTTGAATTCATAATTCAAATTGCTTATAATTTTTCATGATCCATCCTTAATAGTTAGGCCATTCAACTTTGACCTGCTGGGTTCCTTACTGATTTAATCCATCCTAATATAACAAGTGTTTGAGAAGATTCTGGCACCCTGTTTCTCTTATTTTTCATATGATCTCCACATACATATTTTGCCATTTCGTACACTTACATCTTCATCATTTTTGCAGTTCCCTAAGTTGCATCAGGATGGTGTTCAGAACATCTTCTTCAGCTGGCCTCGTATACTAGGTTGGATGATTAACGGAGTTTGCAATGCCCTCGTAATCTATTACTTCACAACCCATGCCATCTTTCACCAAGCATTCCGACAAGATGGTCATGTCGCAGCCTATGAAATCCTGGGAGTAACAATGTACACCTGCGTCGTGTGGACAGTGAACTGCCAATTAGCGATCTACCTCAGCTACTTTACATGGATCCAACATTGCGTCATCTGGGGAAGCATCATATTTTGGTATATGTTTCTTGTAGTTTATGGTTCGTTCCCATCGACGATATCCACAACCGCATACTGGGTTTTCCGGGAAGCCTGTGCCTCGAGTCCTCTTTATTGGCTGGTCATTCTGCTTGTTGTTGTTTCAGCTCTGCTGCCTTATTTTATGTACTCGAATTTCCAGAAGACATTCTTCCCCAAGTACCATGACTTGATTCAGAGACTAAAAGTGCAGAAAGAGAATTGATTTCTTTCCAACGGCAGATCAACTTACATTGTCCGGAGGCTTTTCATCGAATTCTATATACAGGCAATCACACAAACTTGCAGGCATTACTGTACATATGCAGGCTCTTGTTGATCTATATTGAACGGTGAGAACAAACTTGTAATGAGGAAGATGATGTTTTGCAAATTCATTATAAAAGAAATGTTTTTATGGTTTGCTTGTTGCTTGAACCATGCAAACCAGATTGTTATGACATTCATATCTATTAAAGGGGCCAAAAAAAGACGAACTTGTGAAAGCATAGTCTACGTGTCCACTTGTGATTTTGATTCGGAGTCAATTGATGTATTGCTTTACATCTGTCTCAGTCAGTGTGATATTGAGAAATTTTCAGTCTGTTCGATTCAAGATGCAACGAACCTTGTAAAACTATGTTGGGGACATGCCTGATCGTGCCTCAACGTGTGTAATAGAATTAGGGCATGTTGTAATTTGTTATTATTATTTCGATCACATCATCGAATGGAGTATTTTTTTATTATTTTGATTGCATCATCATCGAAAGAGTATTTTTGATCGTTGTAATCGTGTTATTATCGAAGGGAGCACTTGATCATATTATCATTCAATGGAGCATTTAGGTCATTTCAAAGGTATTGTTCTAAATTATCGGGGATTTAAAAAAATCACAATCATACCTCCATATAATTTTTGCCTAATTAGGTGTTGTCACCTCACGCAGATTATCAGAGAAATGAATGGACCGTCGAGGATAGCTCGAGGGTCATTTGACCCTTATAAATAGTCACTTTGGCCCCTTTGTTCACTTCATACTTTCGAATGATTCTAAATATTATGGCTGGTTTTAACACATTTGAATGTCTTCGGATTCTTCTTCCTCCTCTAATGGTTGGGATTCGAATGGGTCACCAATTCCGCAACTGTCTTTGGTGTTGGCTATGCAAACTTTCTCTTTCTCCGAAGGGCCCAAAGTTGTATTTTCAAAGGACGCTAACCCTTCAAAGGCGAATCCTTCAGGCAATGATATTTCATCATCTTAGACGAAGTCCTTCAACTTTCGGATTTCTACTTTGGATTTAAAACATGTTAGAGTAGCCTTCCACATCCTGATCGAGTTCGAGCTAATAGCTACTTGGCATGGTGATCAACTATATTTATTAAATCACTACTTTTACGTGAAAATCGAGGCACCGAGGTGGGACTCCAATTCTCCCTCTAACCTTTCTTTATCGAGACTTTACCCTGTTATATGTATATTATAATGTTAATTCAGGGGTTTAACCCATTTTCTCTCCGCTCATCTTGCTACCAAGTCAAGGAAACATTGATCGGAAGATAAGAAACCTTTTTATTTCTTCATGGAGAGGGTAGCCTATTGTCTTGAGCCATCTAGAAGTTTTTCAATGCCTTCCAAGGTTGCACGAGCTAGAGAAAAATTAGATTGCTCAAAGCCTTGATCGAGTCCACTATCATTATCATCCTTTAGACGATGAAGTAGTAGCTCGTGGATGCAACTCTTGGTCCTTTAGACGATGAGGTTGGGATGTGTGCCCCTCATCCTTCATTTCTTCTATTTGAATTTGGTATTGAAAAGTGTTGTAGATATGGATCTTTAAGGCAACAAGAGGCGTAAGAAAATGAAAGATGAAATAGTTTCTTTTATGCCCTTAGGTCACCCTTCAATTGCTTCTTATTTTTATAAAACTACCATATAACGATGACGTTTATTTACTAAGTCCAAGTTGCTTTGGTCACTATGCTCGTTGACGAGAGAGTGGGGTGGTTGAAAAAATAAGACGATTGAGCAAGATTTTTATCATGAATAGGTAACTCGACTCTAACTTCGGGTGGAAGAGCCGAAGTAGGACTAGGATCCTCCTGATTCACCTGAGAGGAACTAATATGGTTTTTCTATGATATATTAGGAAGACTCTTATTTTAGCACTAATCTATTGAAATATATTTTGGTCTTTCGACTACCATAGTTAACTGAGGTTATACTACATGTCTTTTTCTGATTATGATTTTTAGTTAATAAAAAGAAAATTTAATTATAATAAGACTTTGATGGGAAGAACTCTCTTGATTAATATTAGATCATATGACTCTATTTAATTAGATAAGATATATTATGGATATAATTGGATTATGTGGTTATTGATCAATAGAAAGTATGTCTAATTATAGTAGAATTTCTTAGGCAATGATCTTGATGAGAGAGACTCTCATAATTATTTATCCTAGACCCTATGCTCTTACTTATAAAAGGATAGGACATTCTAGAGTCTTAATGTATAGGCATATGCAAATACGTAGATAAGAGGAGACAAGAATACATGACATTATTGAGAGATTTTATATCTTCTCTATCATCTTTATCTCTAATCTATTGTTCATAATGGTCTTGTGAAGAATAAGAAGAGAGAAAAATATGAGACTAGTTCTCCTTATAGACAACATTGTTATAGCTTTTAGGTCTGACGACGATGTACTTGTAGATCAGATAAATTTTTTTTGAATAACATCGAAAGGTACACATCATAAATTTAATATATTATTATTTAATTTTCGATTTTAACATTAAAATATTTTGCATAACACAACTATTTTTTATGCTTACATGCACGTCTCAAAAGCTTCGGTATATCACGAGTTTACCTTAAATTATCACGACGCGAGAAGTTTCATGGCCCTAATAACCCTAAATGTATTTTTTTTTTCTTTCAAGAAGAAAAAGAGTTACAGATGGGCTAACTCCTAATCAACTCTAATGATCATTTCAATCCAAAAAGAACACAAGCTATGATCTCTCGCAAGGAGTGCAGTGTAAGTTTACGAATTTGAGAAGGATTTAGATACAATTTGGACATGAAGATGATTAATAAATGAGGATTAAGTGTTAAATATTTTTGAATTAAGACTTAAATTCCTGTCATGGTTAGACTTAAAGGTGTGTTGAGCTTAATCTTCCAACCATGTAAGTGCCCGACGATTTATAGGGACAAATAAAACCAAATTTAAATATGAAGAGTGACAATGTAACAGTGCTAAGATTAATACAAATCCAATGTGCTTATAAATGCATAGGATCCGAACCCGATTAGTAGGGATCCAATCCAGATTCAGTCTAACGTGCATGCATGCATGTCATGCATCCATTAATTATATGATACTTCCTCAAGTACTAATAAACGTGTTTGATGTGGTTTCTTTGCTCATAATTTTTTTTGATCCATGTCAAACTAAATAATAATAAAAAAACATAATTTTCATGCTACATTACATATACACACACACAAAATTAGTAATGGATGTGCAATTTTCTTTTCTTTTTTTTAATGTTATTTTAGAAAGGACTTGAAATAAACCAACTTGACCTATTTCGTGAAATGGATGAAAAATTTGCTGACCTTCCTTAGAAGCAAGGACTCATCATGGGAACCAGATATCGAGGAACCAGATAAATATTAATTTTTTTTAGTCCAAAATAATTTGAGAATTTGTTATGATTATTTTAATATAAATTGACCTTCGATTTTATGTATTATAAAAAGGGTTACGACACATTGAATGTTTATTTCTATAACACATCGTATAAGGCTTGAATCTTAAAGGTCGACAACGTGATACTTATAAGAGGATCAATTCAACTCCATAAGATCGGTCACATAACACCATTGGAAAAGCCGACTCGATAAGTCATTATTTCGTACTTACAAAATTGATACATAACTTTACAATCCCATTAATGACTAAATGACATGCAAGTTCACGATATAAATCATAACCGATCGCAACGAACGATCACATATGTAAAAGGTCTCTCAAACGTAAATATTTTAGAATAAAAAATATTGATTAAATTCTTTGAATCCATATTGATATAAGCAATATGTAATTTTTGTAGGATTTGAAACCGAATCCAATTGATTTTAAATGAATGCCAATATATCCAACAATTAAATTCCGAAGCTCACTAAAGTCAATAGAAACTAACAAATCGAAGGCAGGAGGCCAAAACATTGAGGTGTAAAGGTAAGCAAATTTAGGGATATATGCATGCACGAAATCAATAATAAATAAATACAAGTGACTGCTGATTCGAAAAGATAGCAAAATGGATTCATTCCCTAACATTAAAATAATATAAAGGGGTCAGCTTCCTCATCCATTACTATTTCCTCAAGTACTAATAAACGTGTTTGATGTGGTTTCTTCTTTATGCTCGTAATTTTTTTTGATCCATGTCAAACTAAATATGAAAAAATAATAATAATAAATAATTTTCATACTACATTATATATATACACACACAATTAGTAATGGATGTACAATTTTTTTCTTTTTTTGATGTTATCTTAGAAAGGACTTTAAATAAATCAACTTGACCTATTTCATGAAATGGATGGAAAAATTCTCCACCCCTTCTCATCCACACGAGAGGAAGTAAGAAGGACTCATCGTGGGTCCCGTGCGAGAAGGTAGGAGAGCCAAGTAAAGGGCCAGTGTGGCATCCTTCAACATTGATATCGAGGAATCAGATAAATATTAATTTAATATTTTTAGATCTAAAATAATTTAAAAATTTATTATGATTATTTTAATATAAATTGATCTTCGATTTTATGTATTATAAAAAGGGTCATGACAAATTGAACATCTCCTACGTATCATCTTCATCTTATCGATACTTCAAATCTATTTCTATAACACGTTGTATAAGGCTTCAATCTTAAAGATCGACAACGTGATACTAATAAGGGGATCAATTCAACTTCGTAAGATTGGTCACATGATACCATTGGAAAAGCCGACTCCATAAGTCATTATTTCATACTTACAAAATTGACACATAACTTTACAATCCCATTAATGACCAAATGATATACACATTCACGATATAAATCATGACTGCAACGAACGATAAAAGGTCTCTCAAGCATAAATATTTTAGAATAAAAAAATTGACTAAATTCTTTGAATCCATATGGAAATACATCTCAAATGTAATTTTTGTAGGATTTGAAACCGAATCCAATTGATTTTAAAAGAATGCCAATATATCCAACAACTAAAGTCAATAGAAATTAACAAATCGAAGGCAGGAGGCCAAAACATTGAGGTGTAAAGGTAAGCAAATTTAGGGAGGGATATATATGCATGCACGAAATCAATAATGATTCGGATAGCTTCCTCATCTCCTCCTCCGCCACAAACCCCCCTCTCTCTTTATTGCCTCTCTCACATCACCTTTCCGGCGCAAGTCTCTCCTCCCTATTCGCACCCACCCACCCACCCACCACGGAGAATCCAATCTCTGGTGGCTGACATTGAATAGCATATATCATACGAAATGGCTCTTATCATTCACGAAAGATGGATCCAATGTTATCTTTTCTAAACAACTTGCCCGGCCACTGCAGGCACCTATTTCTCTCTCTCTCTCTCTCTCTCTCTCATAAATAAGCATTGGAAAGCTTCTCTGTCATAGGGAATTTGACTGTAAGTATTTCTTATTATTATTATTATTATTAAGAGGAGAGAAAAAGTGTATCGCTCGCCTTTCATCCATTTATTGTATTAATTATGACAGGCTTATGTATAAAAGTATTTTTATAATCATGTTAAAATAATAATTTAGAGTATTATTAATTGAGCGGACTCTGTCCGTCCGATTCAAGCGATCGACCGATTCGATGTTTTAAGGCTCGACCGACCGGCCAATCGGCCAACCACTAATGTTGTTCTTCCGGTTCATCTGAACCGGGCCGGAACGGGTCGGCGCTTATAAAGCGCGTCGGAGGGAACACTGCCTTTTCCTTCTTATCGCCAAACACGGGATCTCTGTAGCCTTTTGGGAAAGAAGGTTCGTGGAATCTCTGCCCCCACCCTTTCCTCTTTCTCTCTCTGTCTCTCCTTTTTCTCCCCCTTTAATCTTTCCATCTCCTGTTCTTCAATTCCGGCTGTGTAATCCGGTCAAATTCCTGTTTTTTTGATGCTTAGATTCTCGGTTTCTGCTGTTTGATTTTGCTGCTCTCTCTCTCTCTCTTTCTCTCTCTCTCTGCTTCCCACTTCTTTGGATCCTCTTCTTTTTCCGACGCCACGGATGATGGCTAGAGCCTCTGCAAATGTGCAGGAAATGGATCCGGTGGAGAGGTTGACCTCGGGGTTCGAGCGCTTCAAGAAGGAGGTCTACGAGTATGTGAAGGATTACGTTCATGCATGAAGAGATTCTAATCTTTGGTTCTCCGATATGTTTAGCCGGAATAAAGACGTGTGTTTGTGTGACAGGGAAAACCCCGATCTGTTCTCCCAACTCGCAGTCGGGCAGAGCCCTAAGGTGAGCTCCCCATGATTCTAATCGACGTGCAGAATCTGTCGACCATTATGATCTGAAGAATAGGAATGGGTTGCAGTTCATGGTGTTTGCATGTGCCGATTCCCGTGTGTGCCCGTCGGTGGTGCTCAACTTCCAGCCGGGGGAGGCCTTCACCGTCCGCAACATCGCCAACATGGTTCCCCCGTATGATCAGGTCAGCAGTGTCTGCAGCCTCCATCATCAACTTTTCCTCTCTCTCATCGCAGCCTATGCGGTTGGTCCCCTCCTTGCAAGCCCCCTTTCTCGAGCTTATCCGTGGTGTTCCTGCAGACAAAGTACTCCGGGGTCGGGGCTGCCATCGAATATGCCGTCCTCAATCTCAAGGTCCGCGCTCGATTCCATCATCTGCTCACTTGTGTTTTCTTTGTTTTTCTTCAGAATCTTACTCTCTCGGAAACTCTCCGACAGGTTGAGTACATCGTGGTGATGGGCCACAGCAGCTGCGGTGGAATCAAGGGGCTGATGTCCATCGAAGAAGACGGCACCACCAGCACGTAAGAAACAACAGCATCACCTCTGTTCATCTTAAACATTCAGTAATCTGCAGCTTCATTATAGTTTTATGAGAGAGGTCAGGGGATTTAGTGACATCAATTCTGCTTCCATCTGCTCTCCCAAAAGGTTGGGAATTGGGTTCATTTTGTCCTCTGCCACTCGGGAGGCATATTGCTTTCCGACTACTTTTCTGCAGAAGGATCATGATGAGCTCCTAATCATCATCTCTATCTGTTTTGGGACAGTGACTTCATAGAGGAGTGGGTGAAGATTTGTTTGCCGGCAAAGGAGAAGGTGGTGGCTGAGCACGCAGCCTTATCTTTCGCTGATCAATGCACCCAATGCGAGAAGGTACTCGTGCGAAAAGATCGCATTCGATCGTCTTCCCAAACTGGAGTCATCTAAGACAGCTTGCATGTGTGCGCAGGAAGCGGTGAATGTCTCCCTTGAGAACCTGAAGACTTACCCCTTCGTCAGCGACGCGCTGGAGAAGACGACCTTGAAGCTAATCGGGGCGCACTACGATTTCGTCGCTGGCAGCTTCGAGGCTTGGGAGACTTGAACGCGCAGTCGGCACCAACATGGAACAACCATAGTTTGGAGCCAATGTACTCTAATAAAAACAATTTACTACAATTATCTTCATAATTGAATAAATAAATAAATATATATATATATAATAAACATAAAATTTTCAAATTTAGGTTTTGGTAGGGGTGCGCCGGGCCCACGCGGCAGTGCAACGCATGGGCGACGCTCAAGGGCCCCAGAAGCAAGCTACTGGAGCGGGCCCTACCCCACAACAAATTAATTTAATATCATAGTGGACCGATGGCCCACGTATCAGATATTAAACTGATAAGAACAGATACTACACTTGATCTTAGCCAAAAGGCCGAGAAAGGTATGCTTAATCACGCAGCCGGTCTGCTCTAATATAGCGGCCTCGACCAAGCGTGACTGCGTCGACTGGCGATATGGGACTAAAGAACCCCAAAAGAATTGATGTCTATAAATTAAATTAATGCATAGAATTAATTCGAGAAGGTTTATTACTTTTGTGTACGCGCGCGTGCGATCACCGACGACGTCGAAGGGGTGTGATTTAAAGGCTGCATGGATGTCATAAGAGAGTCATCTTCCCTGGTTTTTGTGTGTCATTGCACCAAGACACCTCGAGCTATCACCAAAATTAATATAGCAATTCAAGACATCCATAATTACAATCCCTGTCTCATTCACCGTATTGAGTTCGTATGGATTTTATCGAGGCCGAGATGGGCCCAATAACTGTATAGGGTCGGGTCAAACCGGTTCGATTGACAGGCTGAATCGCATCCATCGGTTCAGAAATGCGAGTCTAAATTGATTGCTTGAATGCGAGTAAGGGTTATGGTGACATAAAAAGGTACAAAGTAAGTGACTGACGGACGGTGTGCGCAGTCTGCTTTTGGCATGCTTCATTCCTACTCAAAAAAGGCAAAGAGATGCTTCCGAGAAGCCTCAGCCATGGCCACCAAGCACTCGATGCTTGTCCACTCTGCGACCGTGCTGGGACTCTCGTGTCGTCTCAGATTCCCAAGTGGCTCTTATACGAGGTCTCAGAGGTCCTCAGGCAATATCGATCCTGTTGTAGCTATTACACGTCAAATTTGCAGCATGTATGTCTGGCTGGCAAAGAGAACGTCTCATTGCCTTCACCTCTGACTCACTGGAAAGAGAAGATTCATGTCCACCGAAAGCAGACACTTCAAGATCGCTGTGTACCTAATCTGAGTTGGCACGTGGACTCGTGTACGTGTTGTTTGAGTTGGAATCTGGGAATCGTGTACCCTGTGGTCTCTTTACTCATCTTGCCTTCCACTTCATCCTTCTTTGCCTTCCACTTCTCATGCCTGTGCTGCTCCCTCTGCAGCCTGCTCTGCTCACTGCTGCAATGATGTTGATGACCTTTTGGACTTGTTGCTTCGAATGCAATGCTCACCCTGTCATGCTTACTCTAGAAACCCTACCCACTTGTACTTCACAAGCCTTTTTAGCTTGTAATCAACCGTGATGTTGCATCTTACAGCAGATAAGGGAACGTGTGATAGCTTTCACTTTCCTGTTAAATTCATTAGCAGATCATATTTGAGGTGACAGCAGAGTTCTTTTAAGTTACTGTTCTTCTTGCCTGAGGAACTGTTTGAGGAACAGTTCTTCTTGCCTCGAGTGATCTAGATAATGAGTGTTCTTTTAAGTTCTTGTTCGTTTTCCTTCTCTTTCCATATTAAATTCCTGGAGCAGAAGAGAGACTATGATCGATCGCCAAGCTGCTAAGGATTCCTTGTCGGGGACAAGAAATGTCGCCACCCTCGGTGTATCTTCCTGATGATGAACTTTTCAGAGGGGATAGGATGGGATGGCTTGTGCATTATGACGTTCTCTAATGATTTTGATGACACTCTCTACCAATCATTGACATGAAATCCCTCCTCCCATGAACAGTTTACTGCGTTCATGTGAGTGACACTCTCTTTCTTCATCCTGCATGGAGAAAGAAACCGATCGATACATTAGGGTTCTACAGAAAAGCAGCAACATCGAAGAACTAATTTTCTTCCATAGTACTCGCTGAAATCCACATAAAAAATAACAACCACAATCCAATCCAATGCAAAGATCAGCTACTCAAATTTCCGCATTATTTCTTCTTCAAGCTTCATGGAAAAGAGATCAAAAAGAAAAGGAAGAAAAATGAAAAGAGAGAGAGAGAGAGACAGAACACAACACTCCTACTGGGAGGATCGCCCGTAATCAGTCAATCAATCGGCCACCGTCCACGTCATGTCTCTCTCGAAGATCCAATGGCAGACCTCGATCCTCCCGGGGGCGGACCCCAGCGACAGGAAGGCCCCGTGGCTCGCACTCCAGTCCGACGTGTCAAGGTGACAGATGGCAACACCGCGATTGATCCTCTCCTTGGTTTGGACGGCTAGGATGTCCGCCACGTACACCCGTACCCGTGGCACCGAGTGGCAGTAGTACACCAGATACGGGAAGAGGCTTTGGTGGCATGACACCGACCGGGTGACGCCGCCGCCGTTCACCCCCCGCACCTTCCCTATCAGGACGGTACCCTTGGACCCGGCCGTGCTCTCCGTGCTCCGCCCAACCACGTTGCTCCCCAGCATCGCCACCGCGAAGTCAATCACGTCCTCCGCCGACGTCGTGCACCGCTTCGTCTCACCCCGGCTCGGCGCCCTCTCGCACTCCGCCACCGTGTCGGCCACCGCTTTCCCCAGCGCCGTGTCGGCCGGAATCCCGAAGAACCGCTGCACCTCGGCTGCTGAGAAGGCGATTCTCCCGGCGATCGACCGCGGCAAGAACGACCGCGCCGGCATCTTGTCGCGGATGTCCGGCATCGGCATCAAGTTGCCGCTCCGGAGCTCGTGCTCGCGGAAAAACTTACCCGGCTCCACCAGCCAGTGCCCTGCTATCTTCTTGACGGGCTTCACTGCGGCATCGGCGGGGTGGGCGGAGGAGGGCGAGGATGATGGGTGGCGATAGGCCTTGAAGTCGATGCCGGACTTGGCATAGCCCTTGAAGGAATTGTTCTCGCCGATGTAGCTCTTGAATGTGATTTCATGATTGCCGAACCCTTGACCGTAGCCTTTGAAGGAATCGCTGCCGGGGTTGAAGGAGTTCCCATAGTTGTCGAATTCGGCTGTGCCAGCGTTGCTGCCTTTGGCGTAGGAGGTGAAGCTGTCGTCTCCGACGTTCGACTCGTCACGATAACTCGAGAACCTCTCCGATCCGCCGTTACCGCGATCTCCGTAGGACCGGAAGTTGTTCTCCGGCACGTTGCCGTTGAAACCGTAGTTGGTGAAACTATCTCTCGCCGCATTGGCGCCCTCACCGTAGCCGGCGAAACCGGAACCGATGACGTTGGAGTCATTGGCGTAGCTGGCGAATGCGGAGACGACACCGTTGCCGTCCTTGCCATACCCGGCAAAGGACTGGTCGCCGGAATTGGCGTCGTCGGAGTAGCTTCCGAAGGACTGGTGGCGACCGTTGGCTTGGGCGTCGTAGTTGGTGAACTTGAGTTCAGGATTGTTGGTATCATCACCGTAAGAAGTAAAATCCCCGGTGCCGCCGGTGGCGGAGGAAGCGTAGCTGGTGAATTTGGCGGTGACGACGTTGCCTCCAGGGGCGTAGGACGCGAAGGAGTCGTTATGGCCGGCGGAGTCGCGGCTGTAGCGGCGGAAGGTGTCGACCGGCACGTTGAGGGACTCGGAGTAGTTCTCGAACGATTGGGTCCCACCGACCGCGCCGGTGGCGTAGTTAGAGAAGTTGGAGGTCTGGTAGGTCGCGAAGTCGGAGGGGCCATCACGTGCAGTGGTGGCGGAGGCGTAGGACTCGAAGCGGGTGGGGAAGCAGAGGAGGCGGGCGGCAGCGCAGAGGGCGGGGAGGCGCGGGGAAAGAGCGGACGGCCCAGCGGCAGCAAGAGAGGAGAAGGTGGCGTAGTCGAGGGCGGAGAGCGGAGAAAGCTTGGAGAGGAGGAAGGCCGGTTGCGGGCGGTTGGCGGTGACCTTGCGGTTCCAGTACCGCATCACGGCGGCCTTGGCGGTAAATGGATTAAGGGCGGTGGAGGGAGGAGTTGCGGCGGTTTCATTGGCGGAGGAACGAGAGGGTAGAAGAAGCGACGGTACGAGCAGGAAAAGAATGAGCAGAGGACGAGGCGGCAGTGGAAGTGGAAAGGCCATGAGTGAGGCGTGTTGGGTTGCGTCGTCTGCAGAGCAATGGGGGAGGAGAGATATAAATAGCGGCGGACGGAAGGGACTTGTGCTCTCTTCTTTCGCCGCTTTGCCTCTCCCATGCATTTAATGACATGAATATTTATTTTTCTTGGTAGTTAGAATTACCTCGAATTTACAGGGACTCGATGATACCAACATGTTCGTTCACCCGTTCAAGTAGGAACTGTTCTTATCCATCACGTAGCCTAAGTTTTAAGGTATGTATGCTCGGGTGGTGTATGTCAGCGATATTTGTCACGATTTGGAGGTATGTATACTCCAATTGAGGTGTGTTTGTGCTATGGCGATATTAATCGGGTAGAAATATCCTTGGATCAGAACATTATTGTCCTCCTCGGAAGTCGGTGGGCCACACCGCACACTGCCTCTGCCGGTGGTACGCAGGTGTCGTATCGTATGGCCTATCTTGTTGTGTGTCGACCGAGCAACGAGACACAGAAAGTAGGATTCCTATTGACTCCCACCGTGGACCCCGGGTCCGAGATGGTCACATGCTGCGTGGGAACCACCAGCAGGAGCCAATAGAACGCAGCGCTCCTACGTCCCATAGGTAAACAGGAGGAATGAATCCTGAATCGGGTGAATTATTTGTTGTGAATTATTTGTTTCCCTGCAGAGTCCATTGCTCGTTCGTTTTATCGTCTTTGGTATTAGAACGACTCGTTTATTTCTGTTACGTTCAATCTCATCTGTCCTTATTGCTCGTGTATGCGACTGCAATGGCCAAATCCTTCATCTCTGAAGCAAGCAACCCAACTCCACGCGCGACTCATCGTCGCCGGAGCTCTCGTCCATCCCGTGTCCACAACCCTTTTGCTGAAATGCCTCACTGGCTTTTCCGACCGCTCTGCCGATCTCTCCTATGCCCTAAGTTTCTTCTTTCAAATCCCGGACCCGTCCGCTTTTCAGTGGAACACCATCATTCGGACTTGTTCTAGGAACCATCGCCCCAGGGAATCCCTCCATTTGTACCACCAAATGCGTCGAAAGGATGTACCGCCCGACGCTTACACCTTTCAGTTCTTGTTCAAATCCTGTGGCCTCTCGGCTTTCGTTCTCGAGGGGCAGATGGTGCATGGTGTTTCCGTCAAACTCTTTCCCGAACGCTACGGCCACATCGCGAATTCTTTGGTCCATATGTATATTGAATTCGGGTGGATCGATGATGCGATGCGGGCATTTGTACCGATTGTCCAGAAGGATGTTGTCTCGTGGACAACGATCATCGGAGGTCTTGTGAAGTTTGGCTCGGTGGATGAAGCTCGGAAGTTGTTTGACAAAATGCCTGTGAGGAATGTGGTCTCGTGGACGAGTATGATAGCAGGCTATGCTAAAGCCGGAAGGGCTGAGGAAGCTGTTCAGCTTTTCAAGGAGATGCTATCCGATGATGTCACGCCGGACACTGTAGCCATGGCTGCTGTCCTATCAGCATGTGCGCGGTTGCGGGATCTGAAATTGGGCAAGTGGATTCATCAGCTTGTCATCGAGAAGAGAATTGGAATCAGTAGCAATCTCGCAGTCGCCCTAATTGATATGTATGCAAAGGGTGGAGATATCAAGTCTGCTTATCAGATTTTCGATTCGATGGATCACAAGATTGTACCAGCTTGGAATGCTATCATTGACGGATACTGCAAGATGGGCGACATAGACATAGGTCGCTCGCTCTTTGAACAGATGGATTCCCCTGATATCATCTCATTCAACTCAATGTTGACCGGGTACATCCAGAGCAGTAGGCTTAAGGAAGCATTGCTCTTGTTTGCAAAACTGCAGATGTCTGGCTTGCGGCCAGATAAGTTCACATTGGTAGGCTTGCTCACAGCTTGTGCTAATTTAGGTGTGTTAAGCAAAGGCAAAGTCTTGCATGCTTATGTTGAGCAGGGACTGGTAAAGCGTGATGTTTTTCTTGGTACTGCATTACTGGACATGTATGCAAAATGTGGGAAGATGGATCAAGCAATGTTAGTTTTCAATAGGATGGAGGAAAGGGACGCACAGACTTGGACTGTGATTATTTCAGGCCTTGCAATGAATGGAATGGGAAAGCATGCACTTGAGCATTTCTGTTTGATGAAGAATAAGGGTTTAAGACCCAATGCAGTAGCTTATGTCAGTGTTCTGACTGCATGCAGTCATTCAGGTCTTTTAGAGGAGGGACACATGTTTTTTGATGAGATGAGTAGTCTATACAGCATCAAACCTGAGATTGAGCACTACGGATGCATGGTAGATTTGCTTGGTCGTCGTGGACGTTTGCAAGAGGCAATTGAACTTATTGAAACCATGCCGATGGAACCAAATGCAGTTATATGGGGGTCCATGTTAAGTGCCTGCAGGCTATACAAGAACACAGAGTTAGCAGAGAAAGCAACAAAGCATCTCCTTGAGTTAGAGCCACAAGAGGATGCTGTATATGTCCAGTTATACAACATATACATTGATAATAAAAGGTGGGCAGATGCTTGCAAGATCCGGTGCTTGATGGAAGAGAGGGGCGTTAAAAAGACTGCAGGTTATAGCTCGATTACAGTAGGGGGACAGGTACACAAGTTCATTGCTGGTGACCAGATGCACCCAGATATTATGGAGATTCAATCTATGATAGGTGAGATGACGGAGAGATTGAAATTGGCAGGTTATTCACCAATCACAGAACAGATATCCGTGGAAATGGATGAGGAGGAAAAGGAACAGGCATTGTTTACTCATAGTGAGAAGATGGCAATTGCTTTCGGGATCATGAAATTGCCATCCAATTTGCCAATTCATGTTCTGAAGAACTTAAGGGTATGTGAGGATTGTCATTCTGCAATCAAGCTAATATCCAAGATCTGGAATCGATACATTGTGGTCAGAGATAGGAGCCGTTTCCACCATTTTCGAGATGCCCATTGCTCTTGCAATGATTTCTGGTGATCCATTGGATGGTTATGCTGGTATCCTCTAGTCAGAGTGACACATTCTGGACAGATTGGAGCCATTTTATGCGATCTCCAATATTTGCATTGCACTTGCAATGATTTCTGGCAATCATTATAGAAATTTCGAAGTTGTTCTGGAGCAGTTCACCCTACCAAAGAATCTGATGGTGTCTTCCGACCCAAGATACATGCTCAAGTCTACCGCATAAGCACATCTTAACATGGTAGTCATGGCTGTTAGCCTCAAGCCTATGCAGGTCAAATTAGAGCCAGATCCTGCCTAAGGATGGATTCAAGTTTTGTACCAGATCAGACCAAAATCAGGTTCTTTCAAGATTTTTGAACTCTGCATCACTGGTGTTGACTGTAGTGAGACCTCATTTCAAAATGTCTGGTTTAGGTTTGAATGAACTCAGGGCTGAAAACTGATTCTTCCAGGGAAGTTCCGGTTCGAGCAAGCTTAAGCAATAAGGGCAGATGATATGGTAAAGTTGATTTCCAGAGTTAGTTTTGCCCAACACCGTGCGTCTCGTGCATGGTAGTGAACCACTACAAGCTAGAGAGAACATCATCATCGGCTGCAACCTCGACAGTATTGGTTGCAAAGGTGGACTCATCACCGTAGAGCTTCCGAAGCAACTGCTCCAGGTCAGTATCGAAACAAATTTAGTACACAGTTACTACTTGTTTGTCTACTATCTTTTATGCTTCTTGAGAACATGCTTAGAGAGAGTCTGATACATGCACGGGAACTACATCTTCTAAAGTGTTTAGAGAAAAAGGCTAAAAGAACAATTTGTTCCTGATATTAATGTTTTGGATATTTCCATATATAATACACTAAGATCACAAATCATTCACTTGTGTCAAGCGGATGGGTGGTAAAGCAACAAGTTGTTCCTGACATTAATGTTTTTTTTGTTTTGTCTGGTTAAAAATTAGCATCTGTACTGTAGAGACACAGCTGAAGCAAACAAGAGAAACATCAAGAGATTGACTAAGCGTCGTCCCCATCCATAGTTAAGATATTAAATATTAGGGCACATATTTATCTCACTGCCGTTTCCCCCAAGAAAGGATTTCATTTCTAAATAGCAGCACGAGTCCTAAAGGTCAATAGCTTTATCGTTAATGGAACACCGTGACAAAGACATGCTTCAAAACTACTGTTGGAGAGGTCTTTTGCTGTCACGTCTTGCTGTGTTCTTTATCAAGGAAACAGTGGTGTTGGTTGCGAGGGATTTATAGAAATGAGGTCAAAGATTAGTGCAGTTGGACGAGAGATTCAAAGATAGGTAAGTTCACAGCACAATAATAAATCGAATAAATGGATAGGACATAATATTCCTGTTATGTCTCGTACTTTGGTGCAACAAAGGAGAAATGAAGTTAGTTAGAGAACATTCGCTTTATTTCCATTGATAAATCATAAATATTAAATTATTAATATTTATATTTTTGGTAACAAATTGGTATTTTGACGAGGAACTCATTTTGATATACAAAGAGGGAAAAGAATTATTCCGTTATAATAATTTTTCTTACTCAATTCTTTTTGGGTTGTAAATTAGATGATGATGTAGTCATTTTTATAATAATCATTATTCATGATCTTTTGTATTTACCTTTTGCAAATTTTGATATAGCATATATTTTTCTCTTTCACATATATTCATTCAAAAAACATAAATTAGCTACGGTTGAAATTTCTTATAATCAGAATGGACTTTTAGAACATATTATTTGTCATTTAATGTAACTTAAAGTTTACATATGAAAGCCATATATATGGGTTTAAAAAAATTAAGAGTATGATGAATTCATACTTTGGATGATACTTATTTCTCCATCATGAAAAGGATAGAAAGATTTAGGCAAGCAATCAGAACTCCCCTATCATTTTTCTTGTGCTATTTGTTCTGTGGTGGTGGTGGTGGTGGTGGTTCTCAGAAGATTCCTTGGACTTTTCATCATCCATATTTATGTTTTGTTGGCAGAAAGATGAAAAGTAATTTGATTCGAGGACACGTCCTTTTCTTCTTCTTCTTCGTCACTAAAAGAAATGAAAAAGCTTGGCCTTTCTTCTTTGTTTGGGAGAGAAAGCCATCATGGATTGAGAAGGATGGAGAGAGTCAACCGGTTGTGTGGCTGAGAGCGGTCTTCGGTCTTCCAAAGCATGAGAATTAGTCAGATCGGTGCATCTAAACTCGATTTAATTTGATCCAAGTGGCCGATCCTTCTCATCCGTCGGTCTTCTTCTTCTCCCTGTTATTATTCTGTCGCTTGCGGTCAAACCAATCTCTCACGCTGTATTTTGAATGCACTGAGATAGCTGGTCGACCGAGTTAAGGATTCATACGTCCATGATCTTGCTACCTGTATCCCATTTATCTGCAGACGCACTCACCGAGGGAATGGTCTCCTCCTCCTCTGCTCGGTTCGTCGACGCCGCCCTGAGAGCCACCGGAGAAAGAGCCCTTTCCTACACCAACCACAACCTGAAACGGGTAATCCGGAAGCACCTCCTCGCACTCCTCGACGACTTCCCCACCCTCTCCCCCCGCTCGGACACCTTCACCGACGACGACGGCACCGCCTCCCACCTCCTCCAGGCGCATGGCTTCTTGCCCCTATCTTCCTCCATTCCGCACGTCCTCGTGACGATATGGCTTCACCGGTGCTACCCTTACCATGCGCCCGTCGTGTACGTATTCCCGACGAACGCCCACCTCCTGCTGCCCGATCACCCTTTCTTCGGCCCCTCGGGAGCCGTCGCTTCTCCTTACCTCCATCGGTGGCGGTATCCCTCGTCCAACCTCTCCCATCTCGCACGTAACCTCGTCAATATCTTCGGGCTGTGCCACCCCTACCACTTCGACATGACTCCCCCTCCCGCCGCCGACGCCTCTCTAGCCTCCAATCGGGAGGCGATCGACCGCCTATATGCTCGCCTCCACCGCGACGCGAAGCAATTCCAGCCCCGGATCGAGGTGGAGATCGAGCGCTTCGGGAGCGCGCAACTCGCGCTGCGTGACCGAGCTAAAACTATCGAGTCCGGCCTGCGAGACCTCGAGGGGGAGCGGCTGAGCCTGGAGAAGTGTTTGGAGGAGAAGGCGAAGGATGCGAATGTGCTGTCAGCTTGGTTGCAGGAGCACGGCGGTAAGCCGCAGTCGCCGGGTGAGATGGTAGCGCTGGAGGCAGTGGATGAGAGGGAAAGAAGCATGGTGGAGAGCGCAGCCGCGGCGGGTGCCATCGACGACGCGGTGTGCGTGCTCGACGAAGCGCTTGCGGCGGGTGTGTTGGACTTCGGACCTTACATCAAGCAGGTGAGGTGTTTGGCGAGAGAGCAGTTCTTCCACAAGGCCTTGGTCAGAAAAATCCAGCAGACCAGTGGAGACTTCTTGCCATAGCGAAATCCATTGTTTTGTTTTAAGATTGGATTCATTTTACTACTTCTAATCATCTTCGATTGAACTACATGGTTGTGTGTAAGCCGTAAACTATATGGTTACCCTGACCCTTACTACTTCTAATTTTATTGACTCTATTCTCATTTTCACATGCTAACATGAGAATATTTATATGTATCTTTTAGACCTAAACCTCTCTTCTTCTTTCAAACTTTTTAAATACTAGGAAGAAAGGACTTACTTTTCAAGATCTACAGTTCAAGAGATATTATAATTTTTACTCAAGGATTCTTTTCCTATTTTAAACTCATTTTATTATTTTTTCAAATAGGAAAGAGTGTGGTATTTATAGGCCCCAAATAGATTTAAATTTGGAGCCCAATATTCAAATCCCCGATATTTCGGGGTATGGGCGGTACCACCGCCTGCACTAGGCGGTACCATCACCTGTAGCCTGACATTGGGTGGTAGCACCGCCTGACACAATGTCACTGGGCGGTACCACCGCATGATAGCCTTGGATACCGGGTTTTTCGAGTTTTCCAACTCAGGCGATTCCATCGCCTGTTCTGACGATGCTATTGCTTGACCTAACTTTTGAGTCACTAAATGAGTCTCCCAATGAGCCTAAATCAGTCCACCCAATTAGCCCCTAATTGAGTTAGCATGATTACACCAAAAGCTAATTCAATTAGCCCCCTAAACTACTTCAATCTTAGACAAATGATTACAAAGCATGAATCCTTTATCCATCATGTCATTGGTTCATCTGGTGCTCGTCTGATCCTTCGGCGCATCGTCCTCTCCTTCGGCGTATTGTCCAATCGACATGTTGACTCCCGTAACTTTCGATCTCCTTAGCGCAATGTCCGATCCTTCGGCCCGATGCTCGAATTCACAGTACAAGCCTTTTGCCGACACGTCGACCGATCATCCGACCCAACGTCCAATCTTCTGACATATTCACTTCGACTCAATGTCTGATTCCTCCTGTTTTAATCAATTTACCTCTCCTTGATCGAAACTAGTCCTACATTATTCAAAATATAGATTAGATGACTAACATAGATTCAACATATTCTACTAACCAGTTTAACATAATATATTACTGAAGTGCTTAGTTCATTGGTTTTGACCACCAATGCATGAATGCTTACGAGCATGCCAAATGCTAGCAAACAAGATGACATGGATATGGATGACACTGTGCTTTATATTTTTCAAAAAAGCTTGTGCTTCTTCATAAAGAAAGAAAGAAAGAAATCAAATATGTGATGACCAAGTGGACACTCTTGCATTTGCTATAATAACCTTCCTACATGTTTAGTTCCTACATGGTTGAAGAACACATACTAAAAATATTTACACAGAAAAAAGATACAAAATAAGGATTTACACAGACAAAAAATGATTTCGAATCGAAGCAAATCTAGTTATTTCAAGCATGCACAGTCTTATGGTTGTGTAATAAGCTTATTCCAAAAAACAAAATGAGTTGCAGCATCATGAAGCATGAATCAGTGTCCTTATCTGTCATAGGTATCTGTCTGATTGCAAACAGTGCCATCGATGGATTCTTATCCTATTTCTCAGTCAAGGAGAATGGCAGAAGCTAATGATACTGAGGTCATGACCAAGAAGAGATCAAAGCCACCATCTCACCGATCAGGACTTGATGTCAAGCTTCGTTCCAAGAACAAGATGGTAGTGTTCCTTCCAAACCAAAACCCTAATGGTCCTTTCTTTCCCTCATCCGAGCTTCTCATGGCTCCTTTGTTGGGTTCTCTTCCATCAATTCCTCCTCCACATCGTACAAACTGACAAGCACAAAAGATAAAGCGCAGCAGATCACATCAGAGACTAGGGTGGGTATTCAGAAGCTTCACCTATCAGACATGCTGAACCTTGTGGTGTCTTTCTTCATGGGCTGGCATCTCCATGGAAACTGTTTTAGGGTTTTGTTGTGCTCCCATCAGCAGATGAAACTGCCAGATGATCTGATTGATTCCTTGTGAAGTTGTGAGAGGATAGAGGAGGAGCAGCCATCAGATCATGCTGGCAGCTTCAGCTGCTTTTGATGCACACATACCCCTCCTGATGTACTCAGTAGATCTGCATGTAGGAAGAACAGAAAAAGGAAAGAAGGGTGTGTGTGTGTGTGTGAGAGAGAGAGAGAGAGAGAGAGAGAGAGAGAGAGAGAGGAGAAGAAAGAAGATAGAAGAAGAGAGATGAGGAGGCTGTGGAAGTGATAATGGCTGTAACTATGCTTTTCTGATTGGGTGTTGCCATATGTAAGAAAAGAAGGAATAATAGAAATGTGGTCCCAAAGTGGCCACCATTAACCCAAGCAAAAGCTTGCATCATCATCTGCATACGAGACTGTGAAAAGGCCGAGAGAGCTCAGTAGGTTGGAGAGGAACCCTCCTCTCATTGATGATCTCCATATTTTCCATACGATCTTAGACACAATACTGTGGTAGAGAAATAAGGAGGGGAGCAATTGGTTTCATGGTGTCAAATTAGACAACAGTGCCATTAGGAATAATTCTGAAAGCATTATTGCAGCAGCAGCAGCAGCTGTCTCTTCCAAACCTCGGCATCACGCGGCTAAACGATGAGAATAGGAGGTCGAAGCTTTTGCTTTTGCTCGGAGACAGGGATAGTGGGACACTACTGTCGTAATACTTTCTCTTCTCTTGGATCACTATGAATGGAAGAGAAGATGAATACCACTCGGTTAAGATGCAGAGTGATCACAGCGTCTCATCCACTGTGCGTATGGATATATATATCTGTCGTCAGGAAATCGAAAGAAGCTTTTGTGACGTCGAAGCCTCCTTTTGCTGATCACCTTCTGCTTTCCACACTGTAGTGATTTCACTTTGGTCCAGGGAGGAAAGCGAAGTGCGAGGCGGAGGCGGAGGCGGAGGCGTGCCATGCCCTCTCGTGTGTTCTTTTCTTCTCCTTTTTTTCTTCCTGTAGTGGGTCGACCTCTCCTGCCTTTGCTAGCTTGCAGAGAGAGCGATGGGTGGCGAACCGTGTGACCTTTGCATGGCACGCTTAGGGATATGTGATGCCCATGCCCACCACTTGTTTGTCTATTTTCCACTATTATTAGGGATATATGATTTGCAGATCTTGTAATTTACTCTCGGAAAAGGAGAACGGGCTACGATTTCATTGATGTGATTCGTCAAACAGTTGATAGGCACATGTAACCTCTCTAATTATTTACTACTTGCCGTGTATGAAAAATGAATAAACTTCGTCTAACAATAATAAAAAAATACTATATGTCGTCATTGAGATATAGTAAACGTGAAATCTTTATTTTCCCACTTGAATCCATGGGACAAGTGTAACTGTTGCATGACAAGCTAGAGCACGAAGCTTGGCTCGGAGGTTCACCATGTTAAACAAAGTTGAAATAGGAGGATAGCTAGTTTAGAGAGCAGGGTTTGACGAGGCAGTAAACACAAAAACAGCTAAAGAGTTGCTTAAGAACCGAGTTGCTGAATCAGTACTCGGAGGACCAGTTCGCGGCACTGTCAACTCGTGGCATCTTGGTTTCCTTCTTCGCCTGGTCATCGACTTTGTAGGTGGCACCACAGACCTGGCCTTGGCTGTCGACCCTTGGCATCGCTTTGAGCTCGTTCAGGGGATGCTCAAAACTCTGCAATCCCCCGGATGTCGTAAAGAAGCAACCTGACCAATAGAACACGTAAACGATGCGGATATGAACAAACAAATACGCAGTCGAAGAAAATGTTTAACAGAAACAAAAAGCATCGCGCCTAATGAAATAAATGAGCATCTCTAGTTCTTCCGGTAGTAGTACCTTTGGGAAAGGGCGCAAATGATTTCCCACACCCCTTTTTGACGATATCCACATCATCACAAAGAACAAGATGGCCTTCTGAATCGGCACCCCAGAAGAAAGGGACACTTCCATCAGCATCCTAAGTAAGAGGAGAGAGAGAGTCAACATAGCATCATTTAAGAAATTAAAGATCAACTAGCTGCTGATGCAAAAGGTAAGAAATCACAATTTTGGTGCATCAGAAAAATTCAATAACCTTCTGTTCAAAGACGTATTGCATCTTTAAAAGAATTGTGGGTACCCAATGCATATAACGAGCCCGCATGTGGTTTATATATCAATACAAGTGTGGATCGTGGATGTAACAGATCAGATGCATCTTTAATTGACCATGCGTCGATCACAAGTTTTGTCCAACTTGACGCAATAGCTTGTGGATCGTGGGTATACAGATCACATGTATCTTGTGGATATACAGATGACACTCTTAACACAATAGCTTAAATTTCGTCCAACTTGAAATAGTCAGGCAAATTGAACATATGAATTTGGAAAAATACACAAAAACCTACAATACATGGGTCATAAAGGAATCTATTCTCCTTTTCATGTATGAAAGTATAGGAAATGACCGGGAAAAAAAGAAACAGATACATCAATAAAAAAAATTCTACTCGCTTAGGATCTACAGATGTAATTCTTAGGAAGAGGAAAACGACGATTGAAATAGACTTTGAAGCATTTTAAAGGTACGGAACTAATCGAAGGCAGAAGCATGCACCTCAGGTCACCAAGTGGGAGAACACATCAGCATTTAATGCATAATATGGTGATCTTTGCACAGCCACATGAGCTCATGCTGTGATCATATGTCCTCATTTTTACTGTTATTTTACGTCTTTTGTCCTTGCTTTTATGATTATCCAATTCCGGCATCATTTGAAAGATATAGAAGAAAAAAGCTGCTAGAAATGGAGGAAACACAAAAAAGTTAAAAGAAGCTAACATGTCAATACTTACAGCCGCAATGAAAGTGGAGTTTGATGAGCTATCGAACAGAATGAAAGCAAATTTCCCACTTAGATCTCTGACAACTTGGCTTGCTGGGAACGGTCCTCTGTCTCTTAATGTTTTGTAGGCTTCAATGACAATAATTACTTCATTGGCAGTCTTGCCTAATCCATACTGTTGCTTCAGAGAAGTGATATTCTCAACATGGCCTTGGAACAAGCAAAATATATTATCCACGACAGCAAATAATCTGCAGATGTCAGAACAAAGATCATCTGATGTTACTGGTGATATCACATAGCAGCAAGCAATATAAAATATCAGGCAAAGTAGTCTAAAGCAGATGAAGTGTTTGAAATGTTTGACATAATACCAGAAATGAAAAATACTAAAATATAGATATTCTTATCCAGCGGGGAATGAATTAAGGCTCCCACCAAGAACAACTTGCATCATTTACTAAAAGAAAAGAAGGGAAGAGAATTGCTTTATAGACACTATCAACGTCCACAACAAAATGGTTATTAAAAAAGGAAACTGGATCGCATTTAATTGTCAGAGAAAATCATTTCTGCACCAAAACAGTACCAATTAAAAAATGATGAATGCCATGTGCAGGCCATATTGCAATCAAAAGCAAATGCAAGCTGAAAGATAGGCCATAAACTGATAATCTCTACTTCGGAGAGTTCACCTTGTGAATAACTTAAACTTCTGCGGAAAGGAACCCACAATGGACGAGAAGCAAATGTTGTGTTATCTAAATTAGTATAAAGTGGAGATTTATAGTCAGCTTAGTAAAGCAATGATGCTCAAAAGTCCAATGCATAACGCCATTAATAACTGAGGTATCATGATAAACACTGATTCTTTATTGCCTGATGTTGTGTAATGATACATGAATATGAATTTATCAACATTTAAAGGTGGATAAAAGGTTTATAAATTCCTAGACTCATATAATAGTCCTGATCCATTGAGTTAGGCTCGTATAATAAAAAATATCCTTAAGATCGTATTAGTGTCTTAAGCTTGATATTTTTGATCGTATTCGTATCTATAGATTAATAATTTGGACCGTACTGGTGCATGTTTGAGATTTGTATAATTTAAAATGTTTTTAAAATTGTAATACTATATAATCTCCATATATGATATAGCACCGATTAGTTTGCCTTTGACTTGGCTAAACTAAAAATAGCCTACAGTAAGCTCATACAAACATGCTCATCTGAATTATCATACAAACACGGTTGAAACCACAAGGACTTGTAAATGGAGTTCCAATGTGGCACATGACTGTTAAATTTCCAAAAGTAGGTGTTAAATTATTACCGATTTTTCATATGTTACAGTCCACATAATTTGTGCCACCTCTCCATTAGCCTTCTAAGTCATTTCAGCAATTTCCAAAAGCTTTATTTATAAAATTCTTTAAGAAGCTCATCGAGTTTCCCAAAAATGTCAACAGCGACCAGGTTGCTCGATCACAGACATGGTTGACAGGAAGAAGAATGTCAGACATATTGCAACGACAAGCTTGAGTCAATCTGGTCAAGGTTAAACATCAATGCAACCCAAAAGCTTAAGCTTCTAGGTCATATATAATCCGACTCTTTTAGTCCTTAGTCATATGAGACTATCCTCTCAACGTATCTCTTATTATCTCATATGAATATTTCCAACATCTTCCCCTATTCATGTGTGGGTTGTTCAAACTTTGAGTCTACATCTTTTATGATGTCCAGGGGTGGTTCACTCATCTGCATGATTGGTTCAATCCCTTTATTTTATTTTTCTAATTTTATTTTTGTCCACCTATCCTTGATACCATATCAGAAATCTTGCAACAATGGATTTGAGTCAATGTGGTCAGGGTTAACATATATTAGGTTAGACACTAATTCAACCCAAAAAGCTTAAGCTTCACGATTATGAGCCAAACCTAACATATGTAACTCGGCTCTTTCAATCATTAGCCATATGAGGCCATCCTCTTCGTATCATATCATATCATATATATCGATTGTGTTGGGTCCAGCCCATATGTGGGCTTGGACAAATTGGGCCTATTGAGCCCAAATCACTAATCAAGGTGAAGTAAGGCAAATTAGGGCATGCAGAGAAAATGCAGAGCAGCGTGCAGCGTGCAGGGTGCAGCGTACGTGCACAGTGAACAGCGACGGCGTGCAGAGAGAAATAAAGAGAGAAAAAAACTCTATAATCCTAACGGTGTTGATCTGCAGTTTACCCTCTCTAAGTTGGTATTTTGATGAGGAACCTATTTTGATACACAAAGAGGGAAAGAATTATTCCGCATTAACAGGTTTCTTCCCAACAAGTAGTAT